ATTGGGATTGCCAGGAACAACAATGAAAGTATGTCAAATGTTTCAATGTGAAAAAATAAAATAAATCATAAATAGAGAATCATACCTTTACCACTAAACCATATTTACTTTTTTATTGTTTTACATAGTATGGCATATACTGTAGTTTCTGTTTCTGTCTCACAGGATCAGCTTCTGTGGCTTTCATGAGCTACAACACGATGGAGAATCTACTGAAGCCAGACTTCTTCAACACATCAAACAACACGATTAAAACCATGATGTCCACTGTGATCTCAGCTACTCTTCCCAAAACCACCAACACTAAACTCACTAAACCAGTCAACTTCACCCTAAAACACATCAGAGTGAGAAACTGAAATGTGTTTTTCCAACCTGAGAACTGATGAACATCTGGAAACATCTAATATTCAGTGTTCTGATATTTTCTTCATCTTTTTCAGGAGTTTGATCCCAGTGGTTCTCTGTCCTGTGTGTACTGGAATATCAGCGAGTGGATTGTAGATGGTTGTTCTGTTTTAAAGACCAACAGCAGCTACACTGTGTGTTCCTGTGATCATCTGTCGACATTCGCTCTTGTGCAAACCAGCCATCAGTCAGAGGTGCGAAAGAGAACAAGTCAAACCTTCTCAAAATATTGAAGCATTGAACGCACTAGCATAATTCAAATTCAATCTACAGTAGATGATCAACATTTCTAGTGAACACTGAGAACAGCACAGATCTGGCACTCATGTTCTCTCACATGTTTTCTCAGAGCGACTCACATCTGGCGATTGTGGTGTGTGTGATCGTGGGACTGGTGTTCATCAGTTTGGCTCTGTTGACCTTTGCCCTTTATAAGTGGAGTCCTCTGCGTGATTGGATGCGAGGTTGCGTTGTGCTGGGACCTGAAGGCTACAACAGGGAAGAGTGAGTTTATTTTATTTTATTTTTTAAGAAGGAAATAAAACTGCTCAGGGCTTATGTAACCTTTCTGCTATCTGATAAAAATCTGATAAAAATCCAACGTTGCATACAAAATTAAAAAGTTAACATGAAATAGTCTTTCAACACTGGCTCAGTTTGTGGTTCTTGGTTGCTCCTGGGTTCTGGGTTTCTTCACTAATGTCAGTAAGGAGCTGGAGATCCTCTTCCTGATCTTGAATCTTCATCTTTCCTGATGTATTGTGTCCTCAATAGTGAGGTCAGACCTTTACTCATTTTACCATCATATTCCATAAGAAATCCGGACATGAAACACTTTTACAGTTGTTTTCACTGAGGTCCTGTTTCTGTTGTGGTAATCTGTGACTTTTAGAAAAGAATGTCAGTGTGTTTAATCTGTTACTGTTCCATTTCCTTCCTGTGACGGAATGTTCAAAGGAACCAAAATTATTCAAACTCCGACTGTCAAAAATTCTAATTTAAACAAACACAGAATGCCTTTGATCTGCTGTCTGTCTGCACAGCATTACTCCTTTCAAACTCCAACAAACATTTAGGCCCATTTATTTAAAAAAAAATACTGTCCAGAGACAGTAAAGCTTCAATATTTACTTCAGAAATTCAACTCTAGTCTCTAAACATTATACATTATTTAAACATTTATTATAAATAAACTCCATTCTTGTTCATGAGTTTCAGAGGTTAATTTGATCTCATTAAGTCACTCAGCTCCTCTCGTCTCATTCCTTTCCAGGTTACGCAGCAGTACACGAAGTTCTTCAGATGTCCGTGCTGTGGACTCAAACTCAACAGCATCAAAAGTGTCCCAAAAAACACTGAGGAACACAACATCATGTTAACCTTAGAATGCACGAACCAAAAAAACAGCACAGATGCATAAAGGGGTCAAAATGGAATGAATGAAAAAGAAAAATAGGTGACTTATTGAAATATCTAAAACAATTGATGGTACAAATGTTTTAATATATCAAACATCTTTATTTGTCCACTTTTATATATGCATGTAAAAAGAAGACTTTTCCTAAACAAACTCCAAACTAATTTAGATCTAAAGTATGTTCTCGACTGAGCCTTCACTCTCCACATTTCTCACAGACCATGTGAAAATGTTCTTTTAAGGCAGAGACAACATTTCACATCAGATTTGTAGCTTTCTAAGCATATCTGTTGGGCAGAGTTTAAACCTCTTCCTTTGTTTGGGCCGTCAGCTGTCCTTTGCTGTGGCCTTTCTCTACTCATCTACTGCATCTGAAATCACATACTGTCTGAATAGCTTGTACATACTTAAAAAAGTATACATGTGTACAGTATGGGAGAAATATCATCAAACATGAATGTGATTAGTATGAATGCAATCTGAATGTACTACATCCGCCGCCAATTTAGCATTATCATGTGAGCTGTGGAGTGTGTTGAGTACTTATTTTTTCTGATGTTTTATGACCCCATTTATGCATTCAAGGGTTCAGGAAATCAAAAGTATCATTATTATACAGGCCAGTTCACACTGCAATGATACACGCTGACCAATGTGGACAATCACCTGATTACAGTACCTCACTCCTCAGATATTCCACGACCCGACACACATTTTATTCTGCATGTTCAGTTGGAAAAAACAAGACCAACTCCAACAGATGCAGACAGCGGTAACACACTGATCAGGCATAACCAACAAACATTTCTGTTGCCGTCTTTTGGTTCAGTGTGAATTGACCTATAATCTCAGCTTCTTTCTGCAAATGATATTAAAATATGTTATACATGATTACAGCTGTCAATATTACTGATGTAAAACAAGTAACTATTTTA